TTTTTTTTTTGCAGTTTCTGGCTGGGGCTGGATTTGAACACGCCACCTCCAGCATATGGGGCCAGTGCCTCTTTTGAGCCACAGGCACTGCCTCCCACTGTAGACTTTTGTCTGCCTGGTCCAAGATATATTAATTTCAAGTATTTGGCTTTATTTCTTGGTTCTCTATTCTGTTCCATTTGTCTGCGTGTCTACTTTTATGCCAGTACTATGTGTTTTGGTTACTATGACCTAGTAGTATAATTTAAGGTCAGATAATATAATCCCTCCAGTTTTATTCCTTTCCTTAAGACTGCTTGGCTATTTAGGTTTTTTTTTGTATCCATGTGAAGTTTAGGATGTTTTTCCTAATTATGCAAAAAATACTTGCGTTGAATCTACAGGTGCTTTGGGCAGTATGGCCATTTCAACAATATTGAATCTTAATTCCATAAGTACGGGATGTTTTTCTAGTTGCTTATATCATATATGGAGTCCTTATATCAGTGATTTGTAGTTCTCCTAGAGAGATCTTTCACTACCTTGGTTAAATTTCTTCTTCGACACTTTATTTTTTTTTTGTAACTGCTGTAATTGGAACTGGGTTCTTGATTCGGTTCTTACCTTGTTCCTTGTTGGTGTATAGAAAGGCTACTGATTTTTTGTACTTTGATTTTATAAACTGAGATTTTGCTGAAGTCATTTATCAAATCTAGGATTTTTTCAGAGGACTCCTTAGGATTTTCCAGGTATTAGGTAATATCAGCAGACAGTCTGGCGTCTCCAGTTTGGATGTGCTTTCTTTCTCTTCCCTGATCACTCTGGTGAGGACTTCCAGGATTATGTTGAACAGCAGTGGTGACAGTGAGCATCCTTGCCTTCTTCTCAGGGTAATGCTCCCAACTCTGCCCAGAAGGTGTTGGCTATGCATTTGTCACATGTGGCTTATATACATATCACTTTGATGTATGTTCCTTCTGTGCCAAGTTTTTTGATGGTTTTGTCAAATTCTATTTCTGCAACTACTGAGATGACCACATGGCTGTGGTTTTTAATTCTGTTTAGTTGGTAGATCACATTTACAGACTTGAATATGGGATCACTTCTAGGCCTTTTGATTAAGATCAACGCAGAGGTGTTACGCTGAACCATCCTTGCATCCCTGGGATGAAACCCACTTTTTGATGTGCTACTGGATTAGATTTGGTAATATTTTGGGGGGGGGTGTCAGAGTCTCAGGCTATCCAGAGGTCCTCAAACTATTTAAACAGGGGGGCCAGTTCATTGTCCCTCAGATCATTGGAGGGCCAGACTGTGGGCCCCGGGATGAGTTGGCTGCTAAGCAGGACAGGCAGTGGTGGCAAAAACACGCAGCAGCGGCAAAAACATTCAGCAGGCCAGATAAATGTCTTAGGGGGGCTGCATGTGGCCTGTGGGTCGTAGTTTGAGGACGCCTGGCTATAGCCCTGGGTAGATCCTCTTGCCTCAGTTTTTTTTTGTTTGTTTGTTTGTTTTGAGACAGTCTCACCCTGTTGCTCTCAGTAGAGTGCAGTGGTGTCACAGCTCACAGCAACCTCCCAACTCCTGAGCTTAGGCAATTCTCTTGCCTCAGCTTCCCAAGTAGCTGGGACTACAGGTGCCCACCACAACGCCTGGCTACTTTTTGTTGCAGTTTGGCTGGGACCAGGTTAGAACCCAGTACCCTCAGTACATGGGGCCGGCGCCCTACCCACTGACCAACAGGCACTGCCCAGATTTGGTAATATTATGTTATATTTCTTTTTTTTTT